AATATTAACAAAATCACCTTTCAAAAGTAGGTCAGGTGTTTTTTTTGTGAAGTACGGTTATATATTGTGTCTAAACTTAGGATACTCGCAACAACACAAATTTTTACTCGACATATATTGCAATTCTCACTGATTCAGCTATCAAGCTTTGGATGTTCTTTCCAGCCTCCGTAGCAGTGATAGCACGCAATGTTTTTGTGCCATCAACTGGAGATTCCCTGCTACTGCATCGATAGTTCCGTCCTCGCGACCACAATATTATGGCATCTCAGAAGCGGACCGCAAGCCGTCCTGCATCGAAGAGCAGGCTGCATTTGGACGAAAATTGCGACAACTCACAATTCTGGCATACCTGCATTCACTGCGGGTCAGTACTCGGTGAACTCTCCTAGAGTAGTCATTGATCGCAAAGAAGTATCTCAATCTCAATTGAGTGCTTGCTAACATTATAGAAAGTGTATTGACACAGCAGCGAAGTATCAGGCGGTCGCGATGCTGCCGATACAAACAACAATTTGGGCGTTGATTCCACGATTTTATCGGGCGACGATACCAAGAACAATACACGAGTGCGCCAGCTTCGATGTTCGAATTCTGGTTTGCGTTATATGTAAAAGTCACTTGTAGGAATTCTATAACCTTTTGTTTGAGTTCCAGGCTGAAGAAAACATCCTGCTGCTTCTGCTGAGCGATAAACCACGTTGCGTTTGTTTCGGTTCGCTAACATTGAAAGTGACAAATTGTTGAATAGAAGGTATATTTAGGTCCTTAGCTCACTACTCTGTGCTACATCTCAGCCCGTCTTTCTAGATCCTTCTAGAAGCTTCTACAAGCATCTTGTTTTTTCTAGGCCAACAAACGCCAACCATTATGTAGCTTATTACAGTGACGTGCTCGTAAATATGGTGACGTCATCTGCCTGTTCATCATGCATTCAGCGGTGTAATCTCAACACAAATTTATCCCCCGCCAAAGAATTCTTAATAAGAAGATTTGTGACACTTATGCTGCCGCAGCATCGGCTGACGACCAGACAACTCTCCGAGTGACGGCATGACAGTCAATCTGCTCACTGATGCATGGAAAAATGAAGCTAAATCCTTAATTAAAAATGGCAGTTTAGTTGTAACTGGACGGTGTTTTCTGGACTTACGAAGTTGCAGTTCTTTCTTACCGTCAAGATGGCCTAGCAATCGCTGATCTGCCTGTTAGTTTGGTCATGATATTGCAAAGTGAAGGTTGGAATGTGGGATCTGTTGCTACTGACAACGCCGAAAATTGTGTTAGTGCGCGAAGAATCTTGGCTCTACAATGGCCGACGATAATTTCCTGTTTTTCGTGTCAACCAGGTCAATCTATTGGTCGTGGACATAATCAATGCGTCGTTTAAAATGACAACCAAGTTCGCATACCATAATGTTATATGTTTGAGCAAATCAACAGCAAAGTCCTGTTGGGTTGTAACGGGGTTTCAGTGGCGTGGTATGAAGGGTGTGGGTCACACAAGATGGTGTGATCAGATAATGGTGTGATCACATAATGGTGTAGGACACACATGATGCTATGATCTCACAATGGTGTGAATTACACAGGATGATGTGAACACACAATGGTATGGCTAAACTTGAACAACAAGTCAGTCCGTGGCTAGAACAGCCAGTAGTTATGCATTTAATAAGGTTTTTCTATATGGATAGGAAAACCTGTACATTTTGATATAGGCGGCTTTGCCGCAACTAAACCGAGAAATACATTTTTCATTTTAAACGGATAAGTTAATTAGCCTTGGATTAAGGTTGTAGATACTCTTGGAGTAAGCGGATTGCGATCGCTACACTCGTACTGGTTTTCAGTATAGAACGAAGGTCACCGACCATAACAAAGCATCTCTAGGCGAAAGAGCTACGGCAGCCCCGCTGCACTTGGTAGCATTGTAGTCAATCTACACCTGAGTCGTTACGACTGACCCTCTATGAGGATGGAGCAGTTCTCCTATTTATCCCAAGGCATGCAGGACGGGCTTCAAAAGCTGATGTCGTTGCTTGGCCCTGAGTGCGTGCAACATCTCGCTTCGCAGGGACCTGAAGCGATCAGTGCGCGGCTAGAGGCGTTTTCAAGAGTGCTCTGCTTGAGCACCTTTAGCAGAAGTTGTCGGCGTCTACTGCGTCCATGATGCCACCGACGGCGACGAATGACCCCCCCTGACCCAAGCTGCTCATGGTGAGTCTTAAGACCTTCGTACAGGGATGGAGAGAATCTCGTGCTCTGGGTGAGAAAGTTCGAGAATACCATGGCGTCCGCCATGCTCCAGAACGAGTAACAGCGCGTGGCGATAGCTATCTCCAAGCTCGGGGGTTGAGGATGAGAATGGACACTGGCGTGCAGCACTTCGGTCAATGCGGAGTTTCCCTGCTAAATAGTGCCGAGCCGCAGCTTTCACGAGTGTTATCGCCGCCTAACCAGGCATATCGCGTACGAACGCGTTGACTTGCCGTCCGACAAGGCAAGAAGGAATTGGTGGAATTTGTCCAAGAGTTGCGTACTCTCATTGCCGGTATGGCGGCCGATTATCTCCCCAAGGTGGTCACAGTAACCGTCTTTATGGAGGGCCTTGCACTGGCGTGGCTAGGATGGAAGACTTTTGTGTGCATCCGTCTGCAGCAGAAATGTGGTATTGTATGCCGATTTGGTTGGGATGCACACTCTAGCATCTCGTCAAGTGGACCTGAGCCGATGGATCTCAGCAATGCTGAGGACGAGACGGCAGAGCTCCAAGCTGCCGAGCAGCGCGTAAACACCCGACGGTGTTTTGTTGGTGGAATATTTGTCACTCTCGGATTGGTTGCCCGCTGCCTAAGGCGTGTAAAGATTCATCGAACCGACGTCCGGCTTCTTATCAGTCTTCTGGTTTGTCTCGGGGAAACGACAACACCCAGTAAGCGGGGGGTGCCCTACTGGGGATGGACTGAGTTCTGTTGAACCTTAAGGAGGTAGAGGTCAGCAGGGTTAGACCCCGAAGAGCTTTTTGCTCTTAAACACGGAACGTGTATGCAAGCCAGACTTGCTGGTCGTGGAAGCGACCGTGAAGGATTTTGATAAACAATGGAAGATCCTCATCGACTCCAGGGCATCGGGCAATTATGATCGACGCATCAGGATGGAAGGGGATCAGCTGTATGCTGAGGGGTTTGAGTGACTTTGTAACTGTTTGCTCAGCAACGGGGACACGTGTCACGGTGCCGAAGGTCCTTGTGGACCTGAGCGTCAAGTTTTTGGATCTTGATAGCGTGGAATGCTGCTTAGTCATAGACTTGAATTCGAAGTATGGCCTCATGATTGGTATGACATGGCTGGAATACCGTGAGCCATGGATCGACTGGAGGTCGAAGACCTTGGGCGCTACGCGCACGTCTCCTTGCGGAACTTTGATGAGCGATGAACCCACCTCTGCTAGGAAGCAGAATCGCTGTTGGCTCGAGCACTGGACCGGGACGGTCAACGGGCTGGAGGTGTTTTTCGACAGGAATCCCGAGCGTGGCTCGCGTGATGAACGTGTAGTGGCACGTAATCCACTGAGTGCTGCTCAAGTATTAGAGAAGTCACTGTATGCCAAGGATGGCATGGCCGACCAAGCGTCGAGGTATCTCGGACAAGGCCCTTCTGATGCGCTTGGAGTGGCACGTTATCCACTCGACGAAACCAGCAGAAATAGCAGCTTTTCATCGGATGTTGTTAATAGCAGGGAATGGGACACAAGACGATGCCGAGTGCGAGTTCCCAGTGGTCTTGATGAGACGTAAAACCTCTATAGAGAGGAGACGGCGAAGCCATATGATATCTGCAGGACGCAGGGCGTCGACCCTGGCCAAGGGCGTGCCTACCATAGACAATAGCGCACAGCTATATACCCTTGTTAGCGGTATGACATGAGGGGAAGACGGCGACGTCACCCTCGAAGCTATTTCCGCGGTGGACGCTCTTCTTCAGCTGGACAAGATGTCCTTCAAAGCGTTCGGCGGTGCCTTCAAGGCAGGCAATTTAGCCGAGGTGGTCATTATACGACCGAATGATGAGATGAACTTGTCGTTGCTATTGGATAAAGATAACCTGGGATACATTAAATGGGTGCAGAATGCACGAAGCGGCTCGTCGTTCCTGAAAGATCCCTCAAATCCGTACTATCCTTTGGTAAATAAATTTCAAGACGTCGTCTCCAAAGACCCGCCGTCGGTCCTACCTCCGGACCAAGGTGTGCGTCATGAGATTGACCTGATTTCGGGAACCAAATACTGCTTGCGACGGCAATGACCCCTGCCCAAGAAGCATTGTGACGTCATTGACGCCTTTTTTCGAGCAAATCACGATGCAGAAATGGTGTGTGAGAGCCCATTCGACACACACGTTTTGTGTCCTGAATCCGAACGGCAAGTGGCGTATCTTTGACACTTATAATAAGCTAAAACGCTGCCACCATTCTGGCACAGACGCCGATTATGTTCTCCAGAACAATATGGCTCGTTGTACAAAGTAAAGAGCTCTTGACTAGGTCGATGGTTATTACCAATCGCTCATGAGAGCGAGTGATATTCTGCTGACAGCGGTGATTACTCCTAGCAGGCTGATCTGAGAATGGCTGGTGATGCCCTAAAGGCTGTCAAACGCACACACACATTAATTTGTGCCGGTTCAGATCCCACGGGGCATATGCGCAAACATACTTCGACGACATCTTCGTCCACAGTCGTGCGGGGCACGGGAGGGCAGAGATAAAGAACACTACATCGTTCACTTGAAAGCAAAGCTAAAGTGCATGCGCGCGAATAAGCTGTATGATCATACCGATAAGTGCATCTTCGGCGCGAAATAAATTCTCTTTTTAGGTGCTTCATTGGGAAGCGTGGCCTTCGAGCGGATTCCGCTATGGTCAAGGCCATTGTGGACCGGCTGGTTTCAAAGAACTAAAGGGACTTGCGCAAGTGGCTTAGCATCGCCATCTACTTGCACACGAATTGCGCAGATTATGCGGAAGTGGCACGGCCAATGTCTAATCTTCTTAAAAATGATACGGAATGGTGCTGGGATACCGAGTATCGGGAGGCTTTTGGCAGGGTCAAAGACAGCCTTCTTCAGCATCAATACTGGCGTTGCCAGGTCCCGATCGTCTTTTTAGTGACGTCTGTGACACTTCGGACTCTGCCATCAGCTATTCACTGCTGCAAGCAGACGCCGAGAGGCCAGATCGGGTGATCGCGCTCGAATCTCGCCAGCGTAAGACTGCAGAGAAGAACTAACCAGTCTACAACAAGGATTATTTGCGATGAAGTATGCACTTGTCAAGTTCAGAGTGCACCTGCTTGGCTCAAAGTCGTTTTTTATCTACACAGGTCATGCGTCACTACGCACTCCGACCCAGTCGCCTCAACTCTCATAGAGGATTGCCAGGTGGTTCTCCTTCATTGCAAGGTACAACTTCGAGGTGAAGTATAAGCCAGGAAAGCAGGATGCTTTGGCTGATGCGTTGTCACGTAGATCGGATTATGAGATTGCTCATGTCACGACTGGTCTGCGCCGCATACGCGGGTGATAGCATGTGTTTAGCGCTGCTATAGGCTCTGAGGTGGAAGGAGTTTGGAAACTCGGACAAGAATCTGTCGGCGCGTTTGCTTGCTTGGTTACACCGACATTCGTTTACAACGCGAGTTGCTGTATATAGCATCGATACAACGGATACGCCACGAAGTGTGGTTCCTCACGATGGGAATTTGAAATGTCGTGTCCTCTATGAGGCCCACGACACCCTACTCAGTGGTCATCTCGGTCGTGAAAAGATGTACAGCTCGGTGAGTTGCCAATAAAGGTGGTCCAAACTGTACAGTGGACGAGCACATATGTGCGCACGTGTGAGACGTGTCGGAGGGTGAAACCCTCTCCGAATGCAGCGGCGCCGCTGGCCAGTTTACCGGTATTCCCCGGGTGTTGGCAGCTCATGAGTATAGACTTTGTGTTTGGCCTGACGAAGGACTCGGCGACCAACACGGGTATGGTTCCCTTTGTCGACCGTTTGAGCACGATGGCTCATCTTACGGCAGTGCCAGACACCATCGACGGTGTGGGTACAGCGGCGCTGTTTGTCGATCGTGTATTTCGACAACATTGACTCCCGGAGTCGTTTGTCTCTGACAGAGCTCCACGCTTCACTGGGAAGTTTTGGTCAAGGTGCTGGACACCAAGTTGACTATGTCAGCAGCGGACCATTCGCAGACCGATGGTCAAACTGAGCGCGCGAATCGCGTCGTTGAAGACATTCTTCGCAGCTTCTGCTTGTTTACGTGGGCTTGTTTAAGCCGTACCGGGATCCAGCGCAAGTGCACGAGGAAGCGTTGGCGCCGGGGCGGCGCCCAAAGGCGCTTGGCCACCCAGAAGCTGAACCAGCAAGAAATTCTGAGCACGGAGTGCAACAATTTCCGTTTCCAACGGCGCAAGGCACTCCACCGTCGCACGAAGTGATGTATTTGCCTGCTCGATGACAAGAAGCCACTCCAACAGAGCACGAAAATTCTCAACGTGAGGCAGTTGGTGCTCAAAGTGCTCCACGCTCTCGAGGTATTCCGCACAGCAGTAGGCGACCTCGGAAAGATCCTCAGCGGAGTGCCGATGACGTCCTCCAACGCCCAAAGAGCATCGCGAGTCACCGGACGGCGATCGAAGAGTCGTCATCGCCCGCCGCCGAATCCTCTCGATGAGAATGGTGGCGTCCACTATCACGTGGAACACCTTGTTGCTCGATTTCGGCAACAGGGTTTACCCCCAATATCTTATGGGGTGGCGGAGATACCCAAATTCCGAGAACTCGTGGGAGTTTGACGTGCCACTTCGGCGGCAAGACCGTCAGACGTCGATACGCTTATGATCAGAAGGATCATGACGCTTCGCGCCGTCTCGCGCTCCCCGCGCTTCTCGGCAATAGCCCGGGAAGTTGGAGAGCCATGAGCTGAGCACAAGCTAAGGCCCTAAGCTGCTGTGGTCGTAGTATCACCCATATCAGAATCCACAAAGCTGGCGGGAGCATTATGGATTGCTCAATATGTCGCAGGGCGCCAATGCGCAGGAAGTCGGCGTTGCGCCTTGAGTTTGGCCAACTCAAATCTCTGTGGCTTAGCTGTAAGAAGAAAGTTTCCGGTGCCGCTGCACCCATCGCTCAAAGAGCTCATCGCCATCTGCTGCGGTTTGTTTGGGGCGAGCACCACAGGGATGGTCCGCATTGCGAGAACTGGAGCACCTCCTTTTGAGCTCGAAGTCAAACGTGGTACCGTTCCATTGGAATCTCTTGTGGTACCAAAAAGCGAGCTCTCAGAGCTTTCCGCAGATCAAGCACGGTTTGTGTAGTGGCAGGTGGCCCGACTATGTAGATGCCTAACGATGGAATGACCGCGTCTTTCGCTTCATTAGCGGGAACCGACGAGCGGAAGCCGTGCTCGGCAAAGTCCGAAGCATCATGGACGACACATAAGCATGATTGGGGTCTGATAACGCCAGTATTGAGGCTGTTTTGACCCTGTCAAAAGCACCTCCGATGCTCGGTGTCCCAACATCAAGCGTTATCCTTCTCAAGGAGATTCGACAATGGCAATGTCTGCAAAATTTGTGCTATACTTTTGCAAGTAGTTGGCAGGCCAAGCCACTTTCGCGAGTCTTTCTGGCCTTTTCGAACCTGCCAGCCCATATTGGCCCTGACCTTGGCGAGATCCACTCGAAGGCCACGCTTCCCAATGAAGCGATTAAAAAAAGGTGTTT